TGATGCTTACATGGGATGCTCAACAGCAAAGAGCAAAAGCTCAGCTGCTCCAGCAGCTCATTGCAGAAACCTTGCCAGGCTGAGGGAGCCACTGCTTCACGCAGGGGAAGGATCCTTCTTCACAGCCAGTTTGGGCAGGGAAGAGGAGGTGCAAATACTTGTGCCTGGTTTGCCTGACTCTAAGAACGGCCTCAAAACTCTGGTTTTGCACTCTTGAGGTGGCTCAAGCACCGACACTGGAGCCTGTGGGGACCTGATGGATGCTGAGCTGTCTGAGCTGTCACGGTAACGGCAGCTGCAATTAGCACAGGCAGCGTTCGGATGTGAAAACGCCGCTCGACTTTAAAGAACAAAACAAAACAACAACAAAACCCAACCCACAATTTGTCTGCAGTGCATGCCGTCGCTGTGGAGCGCTGCCCGCGCCGCGTGCGATACCTCCACCGGCAGCTATTTTTGTGCTGGATTTGCCACGGGAGAATAAAATCTCCTTTAGGAGGCCCTGACTGCAGCAGACACTGCAGCACACTGCCGCTTCCTCGGCCCAACAGGTGAATGCCACCTCAGCACTACCCTCCTTTGCTCTGGAAAATCTCACCTTGATGCCACCAGCTCTCGGACTGCAGTAGGGAGCAGTCACAGCTCCTACCGATAAAAGCTAAACTCACCCAGCCAATAAAGTATATGAGCTGCTAGGCACTAAGACAAGACTCCAGGTTTAGAGGCTCCTTTTATGCCTTAGAAGCTTACACCAATTTATCGAGCACTTCTTCTTTTGCAGCAGAAAATAAAATGGGTCAAAGGCAGCTCTTTCGGTAGGAAAAACGAATCTAAAATTACCCAACTTGGGGAAACCTAGGCAATGATGAGAGGGAACGAGGAGCACTGCTGCACTGATCCACCCCTGCATTTTCTTCTGCGTAAGAGGTTTAGTCCACGAAAAATTTATGCAAAATCTTGGCTCCAGCCTTTTGAGGCTCATTACCCTTCATTTCTGCACTCAGCAGTCACTGGGCACCCACGAGAAGTTGTGGTAAAACCTCCTCAACCCCATTTGCTCTTTAGCTTAGCAAATGCAAGGGTCATCGCTGTTGAGGTGGGAAGAAACATCTTCTGGAAAGTCAGTCTGCCCCTGGTATCCAGAGAGATTAAGGAGAGCTTTTCAAGAAAATAAATCCCTCTGCAGGACGGGTACATTCCTCCAAGTCTCTGCAGAAAGATTTCGTAGCACTAAACATCCGTGAGCTTTTGGTTTTGTATTTCTCTTTCAGTGGAAATATGTGCAAACACAATGCCATTTGATTTCCTGGGTTTGGAGGGTTTGAATCCCACCTGGGCCATCTGGAAGACTCGACGCTGGGCTCTGCAATCAGAACATTTCTTCTGAGACTTACTGCATTTTCTAAAGGAGACCTTAGGGTACAACCATCAATCCATTTGCAGTACTGGACGCTTATTCTGTGCCGCAAATTCCTCCCTACAGACACCAAGCCTATTTTTCTGCACAGGTGTGGGTGCTGCTCGTGTTGGTATGCAAAAACTCATTTATACCACATCATGTACACGCAGCCCAAGGCTAAGAAGAGCAACAAGTAGCGTCACCACTACTGGAATACAAAATCCCATTTAAAATTATCTCCAATTGTCCCTCCCACCCTCTCGGACCTCGAGAAGTTGACAGGACGTTCCAAGACACTGTGCTTGATAACACTCATTAAAATACAACAGAGAGACCTTCACCTGTCCTAAACCCAGCTCATTATTCAGCCTTAAATCTAGTTCTGCCTCTCTAATGACTTCTCATAACTGTCTCCCTGAGTGCTGCAGCCTCCTGCAGGAAACCATTCGCCACTGCTTACAAGCTCCAGATTTTAATCCTCCTATGCTGTGCTGCTTCTCTTCCCCCCCAAAAAGCATCGCTTTATCACGCAGTTTCTCCTTCAAAGGTGCTGTGCCCCCGAAACTGTGGCCTTTCTCTCTGGTGCCTTCTTCCAGCCAAGTCTCAAGCTACCAAGGGGATATCTGCAGGTTGTGCATGGAGACGTGCGGGAAACTCAAGCCCCTTTTTTGCTCGCAACCCCCCCAGCTACGCACGTAACAGAGGCCAAGGGAATCAGCTTTCCTCTGCGCTTGCAAATGTGATTTTTTTTCCTGCTAGGAGATTTTCCTGAGCGCCAAATGCTTTGCCAAAGATTTTCGTATGATCTGGCTGAAGAGCAAGAAGTGTCAGACGTCTCGCTGCAAACTAGGTTTCCAGCCCAGTTTTCTCCTCAGAAGTGATCCAAATGACTTTTAGAGGAATCTGACTTTGCAGTGATCTACTGCTGCGCCCCCCGTCAGCCCCTGCAAGAGACCTGCAGTCTGAAATACCCTCAGATAAATCCTATTTTGGTTTTATACCTGCCTGGTCTCTCCTGTCACCCCTTACCTGAACTGCTTTTCAACCTCTGCTATGCAACACGTTGTTCCCTTTTCCTCTGGTACTTGCACAAGAGAAATATAGATATAAAGGAAAGCAACTATTTTGCAAGTAAAACTAGAACCACCCAGGCTAAATCAGGCAGCTTTCTGGCATCATCTTAAAAAAGCAGGGCTCAAAGTACAACGGAGAAAAAAAAAAAAACCAGCCTCCTCATTATGAAAGACTGATCAGCTGAATAAGAAATACAAGGAAGAAAAAAAAAAAAAGAGAGAAGAGCAAAGTGAAAAGGGTTCAGCTTAAATGGTCCTGAAAAAAAAAGAAGGGTTACAGGCACCTTCCCTAAAGCCCCCAATAAAGGTTTAAATCACCCAGAAAGACCAGAGAGAGTGAAACTGGGGAGAGAGGGGGGAGGAATATGCAAGAATAGAAATGAAGAGGCAAGTGAGCGACCTCAGCCAGGAGAGGAGAACATGACAGCCCCAGTGGCAGCTGTTTGTCCCGCGCAGGGCAGCAGCGAGGGGGCTGCACCCCGAGAAGCTCCAGAAGTCTGCTTTGTAAACCCCAGCGGCCAATTTTCCCCTTCAGCCTCCCTTGCAGAGCTGCGGACAAACTGTGCCAGAGCTGCGCCTGCCTTTTTTTTTTTTTTTTTTTTTTCCCCCCTACCGGCCTGGTACTTTTTTTTAAATTTCATTTTTC